CCGTATTCCGCCCACGTGCAGATCATGGAACTATTTTGTTTTCAAAGATTACTGTACCATGATTTTTTTGCACACATTCTGGAGTCAGGCGTGTGATATATACAGTACTGGTCGATTGTGATGCACTAAAATATTTTCTTTATGATCAAATTGAGTTTCATTATATTTATCACCTATATTAAAACTTTAGGCTTTGACAATAATTTATACCTTATCTACTTCGATGTACGTAGTTTCTAGTAGGCATGAGTGTCAATTAAACGCGCCTGACCTCGGCTGACCAAGATTAAATAATCTTAACATGAAATTAGCAAACTTTATCAAGCATGAAAACACAATATGTTCTAATAGGAATGACTTGAGAATTATTCCAAATTATTTCCATAAGCCCATGCCATCTTGTTTGTTTGTTATGAGACATTTTTTATCCGATATATAATCCATTATAGCAACTCTATTGAATAACCAAATGAAATTCTTTCACAACCCGAATGTTTCCAAAATTTCATGAAAAATATTCATTTGGAAAAGTTATTTTTTTTTCAGGATAACACTCCGTGTCAGGTTTCACGAGAGGTTAGTAAATTTATTTAGTTAAGGAGACTGGTTGACTAGTTATTTACTTGTGGACTTCAGAAAAGATGCGTGACTTTATGGTTCAGTTCATGCAACTTCCCCCTCATAGCCCGGATCTCAATGTGATTGAAAATCTGTTTTCTGTTCTGAAGAGAGAAGTCAATCTGATACCTGTACATTGGAGACAAAAGTGCGCTACGTAATGGAGCACAAAATAGAACATCACTTCATAATAAAGTTGATGGATTCGATGCCGAAGAGACTCGAAACAGTCCTAAAGACCAAAGGCAGAGCAATCGACTATCAGTGTTCACAAACTTTACATCCTAATCATAATCAATGTTAATTTGTTGTAAATAAAAACTGTTCCACTTTCTTCAATTACCTCTTAACTCATCATGGTCCAGGTCATTAACTATTGACGAAATGGGAGTATCCGCTACATTCTGTACCATTCCACCTGCTGAATATAAACGAATCCGGAAAATCAATGCCATAGACTCATCAAGGCCTGTTTATTATTATTAGTTTCGATTAGACCTCTCTCTCTCACTGTGTATTGAGTGTCAGCAAATAGCCAGGGATTGTGCGGCCCTTTGTGAAGACGCTAACTGTATAAGAACTCGGACTGCACTGCCCGGAATCAATCTAGCAGTTTTTCGAGTGGATCAGAACTGGGGTCGGTCCTGCATACTACAATACGAGAGAACTAGGAAGTGAAAGTTAAGAATAAATATTCTTCACTCATACCTATCGATATACATGTTTGATATTGACAACTGAAATGTGTTTCCAAAGTGAATCATATTGCATGAACGAGTTCGATGATTACCTGTAAATCGAAGTATATTTCTACTAACTCGCGCCCGGAAAACTAACCGTGTGGACCAAATCATCAGATAGTGTCATGATTGCACGATACGGTGCTCGGTCGAGGATAGTTGTTTAGTGTAGATTACAGTTGGGATGTCACCAATTTGGCGTACATAACACAGAGATCTCATCTGAAAAATACTATCGCAGTTCCTGGCAACACGCCGGGTAATGATATAGCAATCAGTAGTTATTCTCTGAGAGACAGCAACTTGCCCTTGTTATTTTTTGATCACAAAACCAACACCAACTACTCACAAATGTGAGCAGCACCTCGCAACAGTAGTACACTAGAGCATATACACGCATATCATCTCCGAACAACATGGCTCGACCGAAGAACGACTAATGAAGAAAATCAGCGAGAACGGCAGACTCAACATTTATTCCACAAAAGATTGCCAAATGAGGCCAACGGTCGTATCATTTAGATGACGGAAGCACTGACTCTTTGCACGCGGCGTTATTTATCTAGAAGTTGTTTCGTTTCGTAATCACAATCCATTCATGCTAAATTATTCATAAAAACCGACGTTCATCGGCTAATTGACGAAGCAATGAACACGGGCTTGTTTACCAGTCTGTGATCTATTTATCAGTGCCGATGAGAGTCCTCATATTTAGGGAAGATGATTCTCGGCCAATTCATCAATGTGAAGTAAGAGTTAACCTCCGGGGAAATTTCGCTGCATACAAAGTGACGGAAGAATGAACTAACAAGCCGGGAAGCTCAGTAACGGTGTTTCAATCCGCCTAGGCTTTGTGAGTAAAGCGAGTCCCAATTGAGGACCGAATCCAAGACACCATGGCTGAAGAGGTCAGATGCTGACAAAGCGAGGCAGTGAAATATAATGTATACCAGGCAATGAGAAGTAATATGATCAACTGAGTAGTGCCTTTGTGTTCTGCCTTGAGATCTCAGTTTCAAACCTCAGTTGGATTGATTCGCACCGCCGATGAGTTTCCACGTGGTTCAGACAGCTGGGAAGCGCATCCAGTTCCATGCAGTTAAGCTTTTGAGCCATTTGAACAGGCGGGCGAGGAGGATATCGAAAGTACCCATCGTTACTTTAGGGGACCGCAAATTCTGAATTGACTTCCGGAGATCATAATCCAGTCTGGCAATCCTAAACAATCGTCCTAACACAGTGCTATTTCAACAATGCTGCTGCCCAGATCTAGCAAATGAATGTGTTGAAATTGTGAAAGCTTCAGTAGCCCGTGTGGGATTCG